TGGCTTCTTTGGGATTCATACTGGTAGGCTTACTGGTTGCAGCAGAGAAGGCTGATACCTACAAAAGAAACAGAAAATATGGTCATATTTCACCTACCAACTTCTTGGTCCTTCAGCTCTTTCTATTACACAGCCCAGCCACTGCCCCCCACCCCCGAAGGACCCCCCCCAAATGATTTTCTTTATGCCTTGGCTTTAGGCTTATTCCTGGGGCTATTTCCGGCACTGTGGTAATTACCTAATTTCAAGTCAACTAGAAGATAGGGGTGAAGCCTAGCCTGTCAACCAGGTCACAGCCTGATGGTGCCTCTTTGTGGGCACGACCTTCTCATAAGCAGGGTCCTGGGAACCTTCTCCTCTCTCTCTACCTTCCCCTTCCTGTTGATGAGCCACATAGAGACCTGTCAGAGCCCTAGGATGCTTCCAGCGACATTGCATCCACAAGACCCTGCACCCACCGGCCTGTGGTCTTCCTGCATTCTGCATCACTGCGTGTGGCTGCGTGAGTCTGAAGAGGGACTTATGGACTAGCATGGAACTTAGGGCCTGGATCTGGACTGGGCTGGGATGTTTCCCTGATTTATAGTTGCGTGTTGATATAAAACTACCTCTCAATGAGCTACCTTGTATGTTCACTGAGAGCCCTGGTGGCACACTGGTTAAAATGCTCAGCTGCTAAGCAAAATTTTGACAGTTTTAACCGACCAGCCGCTCCACAGGGTCAAGATGTGGCCGTCTGCTTTGGTAAGGATGTATAGCCTTGGAAGCCACATGGGACAGTTGTATTTTTTTCACTACAATTCGGAAGTGATTCTAAGGTAAGGTGACCAGATTTTAACATTGGTAAAGCAGGACACCATTGCTAAAACTCATATCCTGGCGAAACAGCCACATGGCAGCCGAAAACCGTATACCCTAACTTGTCGTGCATTCTTTCCAAAAATCAGGACTTTTAAAAAATGCCGCAGGACACGGGAAAAATTGTTAAAAAGTGGGACGTCTGGTCACCTTACTCTAAGGGTTAGGTTTGGTCACTTATTTATGAATTGTTTCCTGCCCGATGATACCCACTGCCACTGAGTCAGCTCCAACCCCTGGGGGCCCTGTAGAGCAGCAGTGCTCAACCTGTGGGCCGCAACCCCTTTTGGGGTCTAACGGCCCTTTCACAGGGGTCGCCCAATTCATAACAGTAGCAAAATGACAGTTA